AATCTCCGATCTGCACTTCCAGCCTTGATTTACCTCTGGTCCTCAACGGGGTTCCATCTGCTTGTAGTATCACGCTGGTCACTGGTAATAACTCAGGTCTTCTATTATCCTCTATCCGGTCAAACACCTTATCTGAAATCAAAGTGTTGGTGGCTCCGGTGTCGATCAGTAATTTCAAGGACTGTCCATTGATTTTCCCTTCCAGGAAAAGTCCTTTCCTGTTAGGATCCTGAGACGAACCAACTCTGGTCTGCTCCTCTTCATCTGTCATCCCATTTGCAGTTGCCCACTGCAAGTTTGTATTTGCTTTCTCTGCTGCTGCTGGTGCTGTTCCTCCCTTAACTTTCCTAGGATAAGGACATTGGTTCCTCCAGTGTCCCAATTCATTACAGTTGAAACACCGGTTATCTTCCCGTTCCGAGACTTTAGTTGGCTTGGTTTGTTCCGGTCTCCTATCTGGTACATCTGGTTTAATCGTATTCCTCCCATTTCTCATGTCTAAGGCATCTAATACCTTCTTTACTATCTCATCGATAGTAGGATTCCTTGGTTGCTGTTCTCGGATGGCTGAAACCTCACACTCTTCCAGTGCTCGACTGTACGTGGTTGAACGCTTCACTTCGTTTCTCTGACCCTCCATCCTCAGGAAGGCCTCTGTATTTAAAGCTGCTTCCATGGCATCATCAAGCGTGCGAGGTTGAGCACGGAACAATCCTTCTCTTATTTCTGGTGTTACTACGGCATCCAGAAAATGCCCACGGGCTAGTCGGTCTTGTCCTTTTTCATCGAACTCGGGGTAGGACAATGCACACAGCTCCCGTATCGTTTGTCCTAATTCCTGGAGACTTTCCTTTGGTTGCCGACGACGCTGTCGCAACTCTGCTAGGTATACCTCAGCTTTACCTCCAAGACCAAACCGGTTCATGAGTCTGTATACCAACTCGTCGTATGTCAAATCCACTCCAGGCTGTTGGGTTAACAACTTCACAGCAGATCCTCTCAAACTTGCAGCAAGAAACTGCACTGCTTCTACTTTGGTCCATCTGTTTACTCCAGCACATGCCTCAAAATGGTGCAAGTAATCCTCGACAGGACTGCGACCGTCAAATCTGTCTGGTACCATATGGGGTCGTCTGCCGATTAATGCATCATTTGCCCTCCCCACATCATGCATAGATGGAGAGAAAAGCGGTGGTGTAATATGAACTCCAGTTCCTGCACTGGGCAGCCGTCTACTTTGTTCTCGGGGGGTTGAACTAAATCTAACATATGAACAAATTTGACCCACATTCGGCCAAAAGATCAATGAGGCATTTTGTGTACCTCCCACACAGACGACGAACGTTCGAGTGCACTAGAGCGTAACACCAAGGTACCGGACTCGTCGATTTTTATGAAATAGGGGTTTATCGTAGAAAACTGGTGAGAGTGTGAATGTCAACACCGCTATGTGAGCGTGACTTGTTAACTCTCTCTCTCTCTCTCTGTCTTTCTCTCATCTCTTCCCTCTTCTTCTCCCGAAAAAAAAGAAAACAAATCAAGAAATTATATAATTATGTTAGTCTAGTAGATGCAGATGCACATCACAATGCAGTCCATTGTCATCCCTCCGTCTAAGATGGGCGGGATCACCCTGCAATATGAATACGCGATTCCTTCACTAGCAGATCGACCATGAATATTTAGATCTGCTCATAAAGCGAGTGCAGAGTGCCATTAATTTTCTAAATTTCAGGAAAACTAAAGAATTCAGTGTCTCGTGAGAGATATAATCTAATCCCCACACACCTTTTCTATAAAAGATCGTCCATAATATCTAAATTCCCTTTAGTAAATTGCTGAAATCAACATAAAATGTGTCTTTTCCATCGCCGCAGAGCCGAGTCAAATTTGGTGGTCGAAATACGCACGGCTGCGAGCACGGTGTGTAAGCCTCATTGTCCGCTGTATAAAAACTTCGCTTACGCACAATGCATAAATTACGGAGGTCGATGCGTACATTTCAGAAAGCTTCTTTTTATTGGATTGAAATTGGCCCTAATTTCTCGACAACCAATCAAATTATGTGTTACATCAGACGATAGGGGATTACATATCCTTTGTTTTGGCGCCCGAGCTGGCCCAATAACAAGTCGCAGTTACGAGCATTAGCTCCTTGAAGTACACAACCCCAGTCAAAAAGGCGAATTTTCACGTGACCTCCATAGAGAATTCACAAAGTAAATGAGTGTTGTCCCCTTTTGAAGACGAAAAGGCCCTAATTTCCAGTGAACAAATCACTTCGAAATTGGTTTCAATGGAAAGAACAGTAATTAAATATGTGATTTCCACCCGAGCTGATGTGAAATCAAAGTTTCTTTTCATTGTAGGAACATTTCTTTGCACACTTAGCGCATTTTCAAAGAAGATTTCACGTGTTGTAGACCGCGGAGCGAGTCCGCGTTTAGCAGATGCCCGAAATTTGTTCATATGCCCGCTGTGCCGCTGGCATCTGTGAATCTGCAGTTGGTCCTGATGCAGTTTGTCTACTCAGAGTTGGGGGAAATGCTTCCTGGCGGCCTGGTTCTGGGTCTGCAACTGGTGCTTGACTCATCGAAGCACGTAGTTGCTCCATCATTTGATCTACTTCTGTCATACTCCTTTCTAAGTGCTTCATCATTTCCCCTGGCGTTGGTCGATTCTGCCTATTTCTTCCTTGTGCCATTGTCACGGGATCCCACTTCTGACACCACATGTAACGAAACCGGAGCTCTGTCAAATACTCCCCAGCAGCTTATCTTGTCAGGATGCCTTCTGCTGGTATGTTTGCCTAGTCCGGTACCAATTTCGCCGTGGATCCGTTTTGGCAGAGATATACTGCCCCGTTGACCTTGCACCACCTCTCGACCACCGTCCAGTCGACACTACCAGACCGTTTACAGGTCTGTACTTCACCACCGTCTTCTACCAACCGTTGTACCGTCGTGTACCACCAGCCGACTAAACCAGTCCGCTTCTGCACCTTTCAAACGTCTATACTAGTCTGCTTGTGCATGCAACTCCAATTGGCCGCACCAGTTTGCTTCATGCACGCACCTTCAAACAACCAGACCGTCTGTCTTTGTACAGTCAGCTTACTCGACCATGCCACTGGCTCTGCTACGCAGTAAGTCCCTACCAGCCGTCTACACCAGACCACCGAAAGAGCAATCCCTGGTATCGTCTAATGCTAGAACGCAAAAGACCCAACAAACACAGCCTAGATTCTAACCATGATCGTCACCTAAGATCAGAAATCAATCTTAGGCTTCCTCATGGAAAGACATGCAAACGATCATCTCAATCATTTCGTTGCACGCAATACTTTATTGGGCAAATATCCAAACATAGCCTAATTGCCTTACAGTGTAAGTGTGCCAAGTGGGCGACGGCAATTATGTAGACTATGACAGGAAGCTCGTTTACACGGATGACACTTGATTTATATACACATTTCTTAAATATTTGTTATTCTCGTTAGGTTTCCAAGAATTACATAAACATTGATATAACTTCACTTTCCAATATCAGATTGAAACAAACCATATATCAAATGAAAGCACTAGTTTTAATCTATAAAACTAAACAGAAGAAAAGAAGTAATTATTCATGGTAGAAAAGTAATTAGACTAAAACTGTCGAAAACATGCACGATCAAACATTCTTGAAATTGACACGTGACTATAGCATCGTTTATTTAACTTGAATTACGCCATCTACGCCGAAATAGCTATCTACGAAATGAAACCAATTTCGTGACAGTACGTTTGCCATCTGTCCAAAAAGCATTTCCTTCTCATCTGGCAGCAATATTGTAAAATGTTTGGTATGGACTGTAGTTTTCGATTGGTGGTGACAGGAAGGGCCAGGCGCGTACACAGGGGGGGGGGGGGTGTTTGGGGGGTTAAACCCTTTGGTAATTTTGTGTGTGTAATCCCCCCCCCTAAATTTCTCTAAAACCCCCCCTTTTGGATTTTTTTTTTTTTTTTTAATTAAAAAAAAAAAAAAAATCCCATGGTTGACCTAAAAAAGCTGACCTTACCCCCCCCCCAACGGAGCAAAATGTCAAATTTTCAAATTTCGAGACCAAAAAAAAAAAAAAATGTGTCCTCCTACCCCCCCCCCCCCCCCCCCCCCCCCCCCCCTTGAAAAAATCCTGCGTACGCGCCTGGGAAGGGCAAATTAAATAATTCATGTTTTGATCCAACCAGGAAATACACAGCATAAATTGTAGTTATATGTATGAAATAAGTATTTGTATATGTCTTGTAGTTTAATCTAGTTAATTTTTCCTAAATTCATATTGAGCATAATTAGTGGTACTCTCAAGTCCCTTTTTTCATTTTACCCCTTTCATTGCTACAGAAGGTTGTAATGCCAACATCTTGTATTTTATGTACTGCTTTAGGACAAAAAAAAGTTAGGCCTTCTTTAATGGTATGGAAAATGTTTTCTTGACTTAGAGAATTTAAGTAACTTAGACACCAACCAAAATATGGATTAAAATGAACTATAACAATGGCAAGGGCATTTTTGAAAACTCTTCAAATTTTTTTTATGTGATACGAACTTGAAAACTTGGTAGTAGTGCTAAAGGTTTAAGATTGTTATTCAAGTTTTATCCTAGTTATTTTCGTTAATGCTGTCAACCTTCATTCTGTTTCTTCTCATCTCTTCATTCTCGTCTCTCCTTTATTTTATTATTCATTTTCCTCTCCTTTATTATTTTTTATTCATTTACCTCTCCCATTTTCTCTTTCTCTCATCTTGTACCTCAAGTTTATTCACTATGATTTTGCCTATGAAAAATTGATTAAGTTAATGTCATTTTCATTGAAATATCCGTCTCGCAGTTGTTAGGCAGAATCGTACAATATTATTTTTTAAAATATAAAAACATAATGCAAACAAGAATACGTAACAAGGCTCTAAAAATAAAATATAAAATAACATTTAAAAAAAAAAAACTTCTCTATGACCAGGTCCGCCTGACCAGCCCGTAATCGCCGGTATCCCTGACAACATCAACGAAAACCAGCAGACCACCGTCTCGTGTCAGGCTGACAATGGCCACCCTTCCCCCTCGTTCCAATGGTTCATCGGCAGCCGGAACTTGAGCGCCGACGCAACGCTGCAGGTGCGTGCCGACGCCAAGAACCGTATCGACGCCACAAGCCAGCTGCGGTATCTACCAATAAGAGAGGATAACGGTCTAGCTCTGCAGTGCAATGTCATCCATGATCAGCTTTCGCAACCCATGAGAGTGATGAGCGATACCCTGGTAGTCAATTGTGAGTTGATGAGGGCATTTCGGAAGTGTATTGCTATCTCTGATGGTGGTGGTGGTGGTGATGGTGGTGGTGGTAGTGGTGGTGGTGGTGGTAGTGGTGGTGGTGATGATGGTGATGACAACTGTGTTGATGGTGGTGATGATGGTGGTGGTAGTAGTGGTTTTGATGATAATGGTGATGGTGGTGATACTGGTGGTGAAGATGATGGTGAAAGTGGTGGTGGTGGTGGTGGTGGTAGTGGTTGTGGTGATGATGGTGATGACAACTGTGTTGGTGGTGGGGATGATGGTGGTGGTAGTAGTGGTTTTGATGATAATGGTGATGGTTGATAGTGGTGGTGATGATGATGGTGAAAGTGGTGGTGGTGGTGGTGGTGGTAGTGGTGGTGGTGATGATGGCGTTGACAATTGTGGTGGTGGTGGTGGTGGTGGTAGTGGTTTTGATGATAATGGTGATGGTGGTGATAGTGGTGGTGGTGGTGGTGGTGGGGATGGTGGTGGTGGTGGTGGTGGTGTTAGTTTAGATGATAATGGTGATGGTGGGGATAGTGGTGGTGGTGATGATGGTGATGACAACGGTGCTGGTTGTAGTGGTGGTGGTGGTGGTGGTGGTTTTGATGATAATGGTGATGGTGCGGATAGTGGTGGTGGTGATGATGGTGGTGACAACAGTGCTGGTGGTGGTGATGATGGTGATAGTGGCGATCATTGTGATGATTTATACTGTAGATGCAAAATATGAAGAAGTGTTTGGAAGATTTTAATATTTATCTACAAGATGTCAAACAAGACATTTGATGATAAACAATTAATTTCAAAAGTAAATTTAACCTTGTAAACTATAAGATATGTATACCCTTTCAACAGCACATTAAAACAACGTTCACAGGAACCTATGGAATTGATTTAGTGTACTGCGATTCAATAGTCCTTGCTCCATTTCTCATTTTACATGTAACTCAAACTTCTCTTATCTACCCAGATTGTCCAACAACAGTTGAGGTGACGATCTGCCCTGAGGTCGAAGAGGGGTCATCTGAGGTCATGGTGTGTCGATCAGGGTCCAGCAATCCAGCGTCCAATCTTGTATGGATTAAAGGTACATATATGCTGTAAAAACCTGTATATAACGACCATGGAGGTATCGCGGGATAAGGGTTAATTCACCTGGCTCTCAATCTAAAGGTTGAGGGTTTGAATCTTTGTCTGGCACTCACATCTTTTTGCAAGACCCTAATCCACATTTGCCACTCTCTACCCGGGTGTAGATTGGTACCTGGCAATCGCTGGAGAAAATAATAATTTCAGGGCCCTCAGGAAGAACAGCATTGGAGCTGATGAGGCTCCCCTGAAAAAAAAAATTGTTATTATCATTACTCCTCAGGGGAGACAAAAAGTGGTGTGTAAGACAAGGCTTTAGATCGGAGAATGGCTGCTTTCCAAATGCATTTGGAAAGCAATCCTTTTCAGGCGACATTTCTACCATGATATTTATGCAAACTGACAAAACATTGAGAGAGCTCACGAATAACTTGTTATTTTCACCAAAATCCCACCTTCTCTTTAAATATTGCTATTAACAATAGATATTGCTAGTTTCGAAACCGAGATCGCACTTTAGATAAAGTTACATGAAAGGGAAACTGCTAAGTAGACTACTCAAAGCCTGGCGAACCGACTTAAGCTACTGTGCAAAACGAACAACCATAATGAGGTAATAACATATGTCACATTAATAGAAACCCCTACTGCACTTGAAAGCATTGTTTTAGATTATTTAAATAGATGAAAATGTCTTCATTACACTGTACACGAGTGGCAATTATGCTAATTACATCAACATTCAGTCAAGATCATTCACATCCATATCAAGAATTCTATTTAAAGTAGATATTCATTGATATAAACAAATAACTTTATTTTCATTATTGCAAAGTTGAAACTTTGATTCGACAAGGTTATCAAAATTTAATGCTTGGAAACATTCGAAATAGTGATTATTATAAATTACAAAGCGCTTGAATACAGTCCCGGCATAGCACCTGAAGAGCTCTCCGAACGCTACTGAGAATTTTGAGAGATCACAGTATGGACATGATTTTCACAAGCAGACGATGTCCCGTGACATCTCACACATTTTCAGTGCCTGTGTTTTCATCTTCTTTTGAGTTCTTTCTCTTACTTCACTACCGTCAGGCAAAATGTATAATCTATTGCCTCACTCTAAACCCCGCGCATGGTTTTATTTTGATGACAAATGCAGCGATACAAAAATAAAGGAATCTGTCGCTTGTAAATGAAATAAGACGCCATTGTATATTCAGCTGCACACACCGCGGTATGTTTGGCGTTTCAAGAGGGAACAAATGCCGTCCTTAATACAATTCCGGGTTTTTTTCAATTTGAAAGTCTTGTTTCTTTAATGGTTAATTAACCCCTATCCTGTGTATTTACAAGCAAAAGATTTCAGTTATCAGAATCGGGTCATATTCCCTTTTGAATGGTTTGAAATGCCATTACATTTATATACACTAAACTCATTATAATTTGACAAATAATAGCTTTGCACTTATGTTCATTCTTCATGGGATGTCGGATGCTTGGGCAGTATTGGTCCAAATAGTGACGTCATTAAAACATCGTTATTTTTTCCGGCGAATCTCTCGTATATCCCAGCTGCTATGGATGTGGTTGTATTTGTATTTTTATAAATCACCCGATATGTAGTTGACCTAAAACTTGTACGATGGCCATATGTTAGCTTACCAGTTTCTAGTAATATATTAGTTGACATATTTGTGAATTTCTTTGAATTTCACCTTTAAAGAAAGACAGTGACCTTATAGTGAGAAAGGAAAATGAATATCATCCTCGTGAAATATGTGAATTGAAATTTGTTAACACTTTTAAACATAAATACACAAAATATTTGGTGGACCTATATTGATGCTTGCTAAAGATTTCAATGGTTGTTAAATTCATTATATTTTACATGTAATTGTTTTTTGTTTGACTTGTTATTATAGCTTAAATTAAATCATAAGACTTTTTATATTTGATTATTTGGTCAGCCGCATATAAAAACCACCTTCTGTCTGGCTGCTACCCGCCTAAGGAATGTCCCTTGTATTTTTAACAATATTTATTCACTCCTGACGACGGATAGTCAACGTGTTCGAAACGTCGAGCCATTCCCGCTACTCATCCTCTCCAAGCGCTATAGTTCTCCTTCGAACTATATGCTAATACAGATAACCAACAGTCCTTTTCAGGACTAACAAACCCTCAAGAAAGATTACCGAGAATCCTTTTCAGGACTCCTAAATCCTCCCTCTCTCTCACATGGTGCACCCACAAGCCTACTGTAGATATTTATTCATGTTTGTAAAATGATACCTGTGTATTTCTGTGTTTATCTATTTAATTGTAATTGTGTGAAACTCCTTTTTGTTTTAACCCTGTATGTTTTTTATTGCTGGCAAAATATATTGAATTCAATTGAATAAAATATGAAGATGACAGTGATCAAATCTTGTATCGATGCATTAAACTGCTTTTAAAAAATATATTTGGCAGATTCAGGCAGAGAAATGGTATCCTTTTGAGTTTTACATGAGAAAGGTATCCCTCCTCATTGCGAAAAGCTTGCTCCAAATAGAGCATGGAATACGCTTTGATCAGAACAAGGTAATACAGTCCATGCAATGAAATGAAAGTAAGGATTCCCATTCCCCATCATACTGGTGTGTCCCCGGGCCGCGTCTTATAAGAGTTACGATTGATCCAAAGCATTGCGAGTCCTCCAATCAATCGCAAGTTTGCAATCTCCTATCTCTAATATGTACATAGTTTTGATTGATATCAATTGCAAATAAGTTGCGATTAGTATCAACTCTTTACAGGGCTTGAATTAATCCAAGGCCACCAAGGATGCCCCTTTGATTGGCCTCAATGCCCTTCTCATTGGCCTTGGAGATTTTTGTGCCCTTTCCAATTCTTCCTATTTGTGCTGTAATATAGGAATGTGCCCTACAGAAAAGTGGCCTTGCCTTAAAATTATTGAAATGTAAGGCCTGCTTTATATGACGGGTCCCTGATGTCTTCATGTACTTTTATTGTGCCTGAACACATACTCTCTTTAATAACCTCTCTGCACAGTCGCTCATTTCCTACACGAGCGATTTTGCACAAAACAACAGGCACCAATTGAGGGAAAGATTGTTTTGTGCAACACAATGGCTTTGCAAAATTATCAATTTCTGATCCTGAATAGCTCCATGACATCCCTTTTTTGTTTACGTTAAAGCCTGTCTGCACTACTTGTAGCTACTTGCGCCCTCTATATAGCCAACAATGCCTAAGCGGTGACCGTTGATCCCCCATGATCCCCTTTTTCTTAATTGTTAATTGAGAGCTGATTTGATGAGATAACCACCTGCCAGTGACCAACAGGGAGGTCTAATCCCTCCTGGCCAAATTAGTGCAGACAGGCTTTAACATTGATATAGATTAATCTTGCACTTGAAACATTGTGTATAATTTTGAAACATTTGATATACCTATCCCATGATACAGGAAAATTATTTATGTGGCATATAAAGAGTATCTTTATTTCTGTCTAGGTATCACTACCATCACCGAGCCAAATGCCTTACAGACTCACTTCGAAGAGAGCACTGAACCCCTTGGAACACGGACCACGTTGAGTTACATGAGAAACTTCAACAAAGAAGACTATACAAAGAGCTTCAAATGTTGCACTACTCTCAGCCCATCCTGTGACTCTACTGTCTGCTCTGAACCTTGCGTCCCAAATGTCAAATGTGAGTATAGAAATAATCTTTGACCTCAGAGGGAGCAGATAAAAACAAAAATGAATACTGTAAACGCAGAAATATTTGCGGTACATTAGTTTTTGCGGATTTCGCGCAAATATCAGCAAGCACAAATTTTAGAACACGCAAAAATATAAGCATGATTTTTTATGTGTGTTTTGAATGAGCTGAACTGCGTGCGATGCGAATTATGTTTTGGAGCCGCTCAGCTCAAAAAAGTTAATCACGCAAAAATAACAGCGTTTACAGTAACATATTTCAGTAATGGTGTGAGATGAATTCGATTTAAAAAAATTAATCCACTGACTATAGAATTCTTTTTTATTCCCATACAGGAGTCAATCATTTCCAGTAGGCAATATTATACAAATAGTGAATGGCCATGAGTGCAATGGAACAAGATTTTGCACGAGGTGAAAGATAAGAGATGCTCTATTCAACGAGGCGCAGCCGAGTTGAATGGACAGTCTCATCTTTCACTGAATGCTATTAATATTGTTCCAATGCACGAATAAAGGCCATTCACTATTTGTTTTATACAACACCTCGGACGTCAACGAGATTAAAACAATTTTTTTTTTAAAGAACAGTTTTCTTAGACCTAAATCTCTGCGATTTTGTTTTCTTATCATGAAATTGCCGAAAGTGAGTGAGCGCGCACTATTATTAAGCAGGCAGCAAACCACGCGAGCACCATGCGCGTACCATGCTTTGTGTTTATTGTTACGCGGAGTGCAATTTTAATTGATCCATTGGTACCATTGCACTGTGACTTCAGTTACCTCACCATATACTTTGTACATCGTTAGTGGAATGGTGCGAAAGGATCAAACGGAATTGCACGGCTGGAGAAAGATGCCGTTCAACAGTACTTATAGCGCATGTCATGTGATCAAGAATTGACCAATGAGGTTGCAATAATCTTAGTAGGCGTTGAATAGCGTTTGTTATGTACTAAATCATCATTGATGCATGAAACCTCCTGTTTCAGCAATTTGGACTTGATGTTGTTTAAAAGATTCTCATTATATCTTCTTTTCTCAATTTTTGTTATGGAATAGGCATTTTTGGGATCAAGAGATGTATACAAGTATACTCTCCATAACATGCTAGGGAAGCTAGAATAAACTTCCATTACATATAGAAAAATGTATGTGTATAGAATATCGTGATCATTTTAGACCACTTTTCGGATCTTTATTTTATTTTAGGATATTTATTATGTAATTGAATAATCTGTCCTAGCTTCGATAGTGTTTGATATTGGTATGTTATAAATAAATGATAATAATATGGTTATTTATATAGCATCGGTATCCGTCAGGCTCTGACGATCATGGCGCTTTACACATATCACCTTGGTCGTAGCCGAGCTGCCAAAGTAACTAGCGCTCAAGCATATCAGGTACCCATTTACACCTGGGTAAATAAACTATAAAGCATGGCAGATAGGTATTGACATGTCTTTTCTAATGATTTGAACAAAATGATTTAAAACAAAATGGATTCTAAGTCTGTGTTGTTGTGTAATTCATCTCAGACGCACCAGAAATGCCCACCATCTCTAGAAACATGCCCAACCGCCAAGTCACCGAGGGCACCGCCGACCTGGAATTCACCTGCCGGGCTGACGGCAACCCCAGACCCGCCCTGACCTGGGTGAAGGCCGAAAACGAAGGGTTGATGCTTGACCAGCTGACCAAGGAGGATGGCTCCCAGCTGCTGAGATTCAGGGAGGTCCGAAGGCATCATGGAGGGGTATATAAGTGCATCGCGAATAATAACATTTTGCCGAGGAGCAGCAGAGATGACCAACTCATCGTGTATTGTGAGTGGATAGTGTTTCTTATCGTTGATGAAAGGAAGACATGCCAATCCTTCAGACACCTCAAGAACGCACTCCTGTTGTCATTTGTTCTTTTAGATCATTTCATTTTAAAACAGAACCTATGCAGCATTACTCTGTCGTAAATTGTTAATGACAGACATGTTTGTATAAGAAATTGATGAGTATTCCCGGACTTAAGATTTTGAAATTGGTGATTGTTTGAAACATGCTTTGATTTAGAGCTGTTCCCTGATGCAAAGTTAATGAGAATGTAAATATAGTTTCATTGAAACTACACTCATAATTTCAATGAAATTTTGGTGTGAATGGTTCAGATATGGGTTACTATAAGTATTTCACAATTTTCATAGAAACTTACTATCCAGGATGGTTTGAAAAATGAGAGTGCCGACATCAGAGACTTTTTGATCCATGCAATTGATGATTCCTGACATACCTTTACAGAAAAAAATTCTTGTGAACTTCTACCCTGGAAAATCACTTGGTGCTCTTTCTTTTCAGTTCCGCCTACGATTCAAAACAAGGCCAACAATCGGGCGACGGCCAACGAGGGCAAGAACGCCTCTCTCTCCTGCATCGTTAAGGGCAACCCCAGCCCGCAGGTCACCTGGGAACGGCTCGGCAACCTCTCGCTTTCGAACAGGACCTTGGAGGTTAATACCGTGGTCAACAGCGATTATGAGAGCGTGGTGACGAGTACGTTGAACATCCTGAATGAACAGCCTGACATTGATCACGGGAACTACAAGTGCACGGCGGAGAGCTCCGCGGGAAGAGACGAAGCTGTCATCACCCTTATTAGCGGAACATGTAAGTTTGATCGGTCACTTTGATGACACTTACGCGGTACAATAGCGAAATGTACTGCAATTGTGGATCTACATCTAAGACTTTTTAATGCACGTCCAAAAAGTTGATTCCTAACAACTTTTCCGTAGAGTCTAGAGTGTGTTTACATACATATGGGCCCGAATTCACAAAGGAGGTTTGTCGACAAACCTAGTTTAAAACCTCTTTTTGTGTGAGATGAATAAGATAACAACAATTAACCCACTGACTATATATTGAATTCAATCATTTCCAGTTGGCGATAGGTTTCGTTATGTATTAAATCATCAATGATGCATGAAACCTCCTATCAGACTTGTGATGTTTAAAAAGATTTTCACACTATCTTCTTTTCTCAATTTTCATTACAGAACAGGTATATTGTGATGGAAACATGTATAAAAGTATACTCTCCATAACATGCTAGATGTTTATTATGTTATTGAATAATCCGTCCTAGCTTCGATATTGTTTGATATTGGTATGTAATAAATACATAATAATAATATGGTTATTTATATAGCATCGGTATCCGTCAGGCTCTGACGCTCATGGCGCTTTACACATATTACCCTGGTCGTATATAGCCAAGCTACCAAAGTAACTAGCGCTCAAGCATATCAGGTGCCCATTTACACCTGTGTAAATAAACAATAAAGCTTGGCAGATAGGTATCTTTCAATATTAAACAAAATACAATTTGACGGCCTATACTGTTTTATAAAAGAAATGGACACTAAGTCTGTGTTTTATGTAATTCATCTCAGATGCACCAAAAATGCCCACGATCTCTAGGAACATGCCCGGCCGCCAAGTCACTGAGGGCACAGCTGACCTGGAATTCAGCTGCCGGGCTGACGGCAACCCCAGACCATCTCTGACCTGGGTGATGGCCAACAATGAAGGGTTAACGCTTGACCAGCTGACCAAGGAAGATGGCTCCCAGCTGCTGAGATTCAGGGAGGTCCGAAGGCATCATGGAGGGGTATACAGGTGCATCGCTAACAATAACATTCCGCCAAGGAGCAGCAATGATGACCAACTCATCGTGCGTTGTGAGTGACGAGCTTTTCTCATAGTTAATGAAAACATTTCAGACACGTACCTCAAGAAGGCACTCCAGTTGTCAATTGTTCGTTGTAGATCATTTCATTTTAAAACAGAACATTTGCAGCTAACATCACTCTGTAGTGAGTTGTTAATGACTGCCATCTTCGCACAAGAAATTGATGTGTATTCCCAAATCTAATTTCTTTGAAATTTGGTGTTTCTTTTGAAACATGCTTTAATGTAGAGCCGTCCTCTGATGCAAAATAGATAGGAATCTGATTGTATTTTCAATAAAACTACAGTACTAAATTACAGTGGGAATGGTTAGGAATCAGTCAATATGGGTTACTGTAAAGGAGTATTTTACAATTCTCACAGAAACTATCCGTGATGGTGTCAAAGAAAATATGACAGTGCCGACATCAGAGAAGTTTTTATCCATGCAGATGATTCCTGACGTACCTTTACAAACAAAAATATTGTTGTAACATTCTACCTCACAAAATAATTTGGTGCTCTTTCTGTTCAGTTCCGCCTACTATAGAAAACAAGGCCAACAACCGGACGACGGCCAACGAGGGCAAGGCCGCCTCTCTATCCTGCATCATTAAGGGCAACCCCAGCCCACAGGTCAACTGGGAACGGCTCGGCAACCACTCCGTAGCGCTTTGGAACAGGACGTTGGTCGTAAATACCGAGGTGAACAGCGATTATCAGAGCATGGTGACGAGTACGTTGAACATCGTGGACGTACATCCGGACATTGATCACGGGAACTACAAGTGCACGGCGGAAAGCACCGCGGGAAGAGATGAAACTGTCATTAACCTTAGTGGAACATGTAAGTTTGATCAGTCCAGTCCAGTTTGTAATTTATTTGAATTGTATTCAATTCCATATCATAAATTCATATAATGAAATGATTACCTGTGCATTAGGGCATATGGGCAGTGTTTCATGAAACCAAGTACAAGTTCGCCCACATGACATTGAAACGTGTATTGAATTAAACATGCGTTTCAATAGGATGTCTGCACACCTGTACTTATGACGGCTTTGTTAGAATGCTACCCAGGTAACCCTGAGCAGGGTGGCATTGCTCTCGTCCTAGTGACAACCAGCTGTGCCATTAAGTCAAAGAATAGGTGTATAAATGTTTATCCTGAGAACATGCCGTTGTCAATTTTCTTGAAATAAAAAACGGATATATGTAAATGCCAAATTTATCCAGTTGAAGAAAATCTGACTCTTACAAACAAGCTAACAATCGAAAATATGTGGACGCTGTACGTGTAGGCCTACGTGTGGTCATTGTATGAAAGCAGACAAATATCATAAAAAAACGACGAAAGTTTGAAATAAATTGAGTCAATAATAAGAAAGTTGAACGAATGTTTGAAATAATGAATCACTAAGTATATGCGAGTCCCAAATTGGCAGTTTGGTCAGTAGATTGTGAAGTAGTTGCCTTTAACTCTAATTCTGTTTGTCGTGTACAAAAATATCATTAATGTCTTTTCCGCCTAAACACCTTCTCCTTCGGGGCTGTACTCACAATATATTTAATATGGTAGCACATCGTTATAGGTCCTCTCATACGGAGAAAAGACCCTCGGAGTCATACATTTTTTAAGAAACTTGTTTTTCTCGAAATTTTAGTCATTCTGTGTGTTGGAACAAATGGGAGAGTTGTCCTGTAAACCGCAGCAGGAAGTGAACAGCAATTGCGATACATGCCATATAATTAGCGGATGTCAATTGACATTATTTCAGGTGCGTTAGAAATAGTTGTATGTAAGAGCAGAAGGGGGTGTTAAAGTGTTTGTTAAAATATATAATTAGGAAAAGGACAAGAAGACATGAAGAAAGAGAACATGAAGTGCTAGCGAAATAATAGATTTTTGAGGAGAGAAGACGAACTAGTATAAGAAACCGAGTAGACTAAACAACGTCTACAGCCTTTCTTTCTTTTAACACGTAAGTTCATCTGTTTCTGACTTCTTCCATCTTGGATAGTAATGTATTACCCTTTTCTGCTGATGGAAAACATTACAAGTCCAATACAGTTGATTGCAATTTATTTGAATAGAATTCAAATAAATATTCTAAATTTGCTGAAGTCCACAATCAAGCACACTCCCACACACATACTCTCATTCATGCAATCGCACGCACCCCCTACACACGCACAGCACACGCACAACACACGTACCCACACCTCTATGTCATACACACAGACTGAGTGAACTATTTGGCTGCTTATTTTATTACCAGAGATCCTTTGCAGTTCTTATAGAGAAGGATGCTGTGTTCTATAGAAATGAAAAATAATTTTGACCTTTCTCGTTCTTTTCATGCTGATTTGGAAGAAGATCACTGGAAAAATAATTCTCTTGCCCCCATATTCATTATGTAAATATAAATAGCTGAACAAATTTGTATACTACTATTATCATTATAGTCTTTATTGATATCATTTCGATGATTCCACGCCCCACGGTTTGCTTCAGTATTACATACATTTCGGAAACAATTTGTTTTCTTCTTAATAATTGCTAAACCAAATCAAAGCAATCTGAAAAATATAAGACAGAAATAACCGTCTGGTATGGGGAATTTTTAAATACAATTACGTTGTTAACCTGTATAGAGGCGGTCAGTGGAGCCAGATATAGTATCAGCGGGACAACCGTCGATATCAGAGACTGAATCTTTCTGTCTAGAAAAATATAGGCCTAACTCAATCACAAAGGACTTTTACAAAATCAGCCCAGTCCATCATTTTTTTAAATATGCAAGCATTTAAAGTATACAATTACGTAATCTGAGCATGATTTCATTGGGATAGACCCTATACGATAGCGTACAGAAATTGCCCTTGAACTAACATAATTTTAACTTATGTTTTTGAAGTGTTTTTATCACTGATTAAAGATAAAGGTGAGTTCTGGTAACGCGATTGCATTGTGAAAGAAAAGGTGTGGAATGCATCAGAAAAAGTTGATCATGTAGCATGTAAGTATTGGTGTGTACTGCAAGGTTCTGGAGTCATCAAATTCATAACAAATTTGGCTCGGTCTTGGTAAAGTAACAAGCACACTACACAGAAATATGTATATGGGACAACACAAATGGTGTCAGGGCTAGTACTACTTGATTTCCTCATCTTTCTATGCTCATTACTCAGCCAGTATACATTTTCTTCCAAAATTGTTTGGCACATGACATTTATTTGTAATCTTAAACATTCAGTGTAACTTTCGTTAGATTCTGTGAGAATTGATTTTCTTTTTTTAACCAGAACTCAAGCTTATCTTTAAGCGGCCCTACGTTGTCATTGGTTTCGAGTAAATTGTGAAGCGCTTCGTAACTTTTAGGAGCAAAATGCTTTGCGATCGTGTTTTTTCAGCAATCTCTTTTTTAAAATCAACGCTTGAAAGCAGAATAAAAACTTCATTATTTAGGATGACACTCCGAACAACTTAATAAACATATATAGGCTACACAACGTTGTACAGACTTAGGACTACACTTTTACATATCGATATACTTTTGTTAACCTTTTACTTGACACCAGTGCCAATCAGTAAGTTTGCTCGTTAGCTATATTAGTTGAATAAGTAATTTCTGGACCCCGTCTTACAAGGTGTTGCAATTGATCCGAATCAATCGCAAGTTTGAAGTCCCATTATCTTTTATTTACAAAGTTGCGATTGATCACAGCTTTTTATAAGACTGGGCTCTGGTCTTCACTAGCTTCGTGACAACCGAATTAACACCTGTATACATAAGTTTTGTACATTTAGATAATCAAGAAGCCTATGTTACAACTGTCCTATACAAAATTGGCACCGGGATGTCGTCGTTGAGTGCCATGTAAACTTAACTATTTACGCTACGATATTATCCTATATAAAGAAACTCGATTTCCAAAATCGAGTTTAAAATCACGTGATTTTGCCCATACAATTCACATTATGTTTTTGATTGAATTTTGCTATTATTCCCAACGATGGCATTTCATCCATAAATCCATATTGTACTTACATATAAAGGAACATTCCAAAACAATGTGTTGACCATGTAGGCCTATAATTGACTGACAAAGGCCATCTCTTTTGAAACACATAAAGGCCTGCCCGAAAAACCAAGTAACGTGTCCGTTTTGGAATCATCAATAACTTCCACTTCATTTTCCGTCGCGTGGCAAATCAACTCGTCTGATGGAAGACCTGAAACATATACGGTGACGTATTGTGAAGTCGATATCCCCGAGGAATGCACAAAGATCTGTGAAGTTAGTCCAACTCGGCTGACAATCGGGGGTCTTCGACCGTCTACGGTTTACCGAGTCACCGTGAAAAGCCAGAATGACTTCGGGTTCAGCGAAGACAGCGAGTTCATCGACATATTTACACAAAGTAAGTATGATTGGGGTTGTGTGTCCGGACACCTTTAAGATAAAGATTTCCCTTTTGCCTTTGGATTTAACGAAAAATATTAACCATATATATTTCATGCATATATCATGAATATTCGTCAATTATAATATATTTATATTTTTATATATACAATATAGCCAACTTTTCTCACAAGTCATGCACAAAGTGTATGGAATAGTATATACTCAATGCAATATGTAAGTCGAATATCCTAATGTGAAGCGACTAACGAATATTTGGAAAAGCACCATGAAAGAATAGGCCTACACTAGATCTGTCAACATTAAATTATAAATATAAATTTGATTTAAAAAATCATATCATGATTGCCTGAAATGTATTACAAACCTCAACTTTCGACTCATGATTTATCTATTTGCCTATGAATGATTAAGGGGAAGTTTTGCATCTATATATCTATTACGGAAAAATTAAGCTAATTAAAAACTAATAATCACAAAATATTGTGCGCTGATACACTGACTATGTTAACGTTTTCTGTACACTATTATTTTTTAGGTATCCCAAGTTCCAACAATGAAGTGATCGCAGTAGGCCTATATTTACCAATTAGTGTCAGCGTCGTTGTGAACATTGTCCTCATTGCCATCATTGTCTACTTGAAGATGAAGAAAAAACGTAAGATGAAATAACCTTTATAATTTTCTTATTATTCTGTAATTCTTATATTTTCATAAATGTTGTCTGCAGGTCTGATCCCTCAGTCACACTGCCGAACCGATTCCAGACCGACTGGTTCTTAGCCATTCAGTGTAATGTAATGATTTGATCGGGCTGGTGTCGGTCTCGTTGGTGTGACTGAGGTCAAATGTTATAGCGCTCTGCACGAGTAGGGCCTACTGATAAGTTGACAAACATATTACACTGTATAGTTGCCGTGTTATTCCCCTTATAATAGGGACTTTACGATTTGCGTGGACGTGTGACTTGCTTTTAAGGCACTGGCAGTCACATGTGACGTCCATTTAAGGCACTGGCAATGCCTTAAAAGGATGTCACACGTTTCAGTACACGTTCTCGTCGTGCAAATCCAAAAGTCCCTAATGTAAGGGAAGAGACAGCGAGAGAGAAATGAGGAAGGAGGGAGGGAGAGAGAGGGAAGTAGGAAGGACGGAAAAAAGGTCACTGATTGTAGCAAATCTACAAATGATGCACCAACAGCACATATCGAAATTCATATCGAAACTGGATTTAATAATTACAAGCTTGATTTAAAAAATTGATTATGATTAAATTTATTTTGAAAGTTATTTGGATGAAGCCCCCAGTCGAGCCAATTGATTAATGATATTATCTTGTTTACCTGCAGAACGTTCGAGAATCTTGAAATCTAGTTACTTCACAAAGCAACCCTTGCCGAAAACTCAACCTCCAACACAAACTACCGTAAAAGAAATTGCCGTCGACTCTAATAAAGTACATGTGAGTTTACGAACTAAGTAATAACATATTTCTATTTACAGATGAAATAAATATAAGTATCCTGCATGGATGTGAGTGATTGTGTGCTGAATATGTGGGTGTGTATGTATTTATTGACGGGTGAATGGATATAAATGTGCAGTGGTTAGTGAATAGTGCACACCACCATTGAATTCCTGTAATAGCTTCTAGGTTAATGGGAACCTGTATCAGCCTACGTATGCATCAAGCACATTTTCTTAATCTTCTTTTGGGTGGAGTGGGGTAGGGCTTAAACGTTAAGGCGAAACCTTGATAATACAATTGGTTTTGAAAGAATTTAAAAACATGTTTAACCATAACGAGTATACTCTGCAGCCTGATCTAAAACAAATCATTTTGAAAATCTTTCCTTAAAGTTCTAGGTGTAAGCTCAGTGAGCATATTACCATTGTAATCCCTACGGAGACGGGGTTCCCCGTGTGTTAAAAACCTATCATTAAAGCAGGTGACACTGTGTAATGTAAGAACTTCTTTGGATGAGCCAGTGACCTTACGTGATTGTAACAAAAATATGACACCATTATAGGTATCATCATCATAATCATAATCGTCATCATCATCATCATCATCATCATTATCATCATCATCATCATCATCATAATCGTCATCATCACTATCCCATGCACCCTTCTGAAATGTATCAGCCTAACATTTAAGATGGTGGTGTGATGTAAGCAATCAAAATCTATGCAATAAACCCTTGTTTGTTTGTTTGTTTTTATTTCCGTATAAAAGCATCACAACATACAAATACATACATAAATGAGATATACGGCGGATAGCCCATTTCAGGTGTATTAACAAAATACGCCTGTTCTTCCATGGGGTCCGGATAAAAAAGCTATTACACACGAATCAGATATTTCATACAATCATGGGGAAATTAGAATTATATATCTTGTCGATCTTGTCGATCTGTTTCTCTTTCTCTCTTTCTATAACACAGGACAGCGGTGATCATGTGTACCAAGACCTGAATGCGCCATCACGGCTGGTCGAACAGGGATGCGATCAGGTAGACGACCAGGCAGACTTCATCCTTGATCATTCTTACGAAGACTTTCCTGCAACGAAAGAAAGAGAAGAACACCGGGTCATTTACTCAAACGAATGTGTAAGGGTTCTGAAATAATAGTGGTAACCACGGTCGACCTTCTCGCCTTCTCGGTCTTGCATCTGCGCATTGGTTAGTTAAACAAGTCACCTTCTCGCTGCACGCTCAAACGTCCATAGTGGTGGGCCTGTCTTGCATTGTCGACCTGCGTGCAATTTCCCACCATCACATTATTGTACTTATGTAAATAGACGACTATACACTATGCGACATTTAGATATAAACCTAAATCTAAGTTAGATGTTGAAATGTTGGAAAGAAATACAGTATATTCATCGAGTGTTTGAAAACTTCCATGATCATTGTTATGTTACAAGCAGTGGTGGGTCTTAGATTGCCAGGATGGTTGGGGGAGGAGGGGCAAACTGCGAAAGTGCACTTTCCCACGAGGACAGTCATTGCATTCATTAACCAGTGACGAAGCAAGCATTTGTCCCTGGAATATGATTCTGAAAGCCTTGCCAGTCAATACAGACTCACTGACTAGAGGGGGGGGGGGGGTGAGAGGGGCAGGCATTTGAAAGGGGTAGTAATAGGGACCAGGCCAAAGGAAAAGGGGCTCGTGGGTAGTAGCACTTTGAATGCTCATAACAATGCATAACATGTATATAAATTTGCACTAATTCCAGTACAATTCTTTATAGAACAGTTCAAATGTGTATATAATAACAGTACTATAATTGCAATAGTACTACCTATAAGTGAATTATTTGTATTACCTGCAAAATTAATACATTTCTTAAACATAGGTTGACAGGAAACTTTTGAAATAAATGAACTGCATCAGTCCTCGCCACTTTTTTGGTGCTTTCCTTTGTATTGAAGCGTGCACATATATTCCATTATTTAGCTATCTTGCGAACAATCTAAGTGTATTACTTGTATTACTTGAAAAGCAATCCGATGTAAATCTGTACATAGCAAATTTGGTATCCCGTCAGGCTTTATCAGATGACATAAATTTACATTTTTGTCGTTGCTTATGATCTTTTATATTATTATTTGTTTTGTGTAAGAATGCCTGAAAATATCATGACTATTAAGCATCTGATTACAAACTATTACTGTCTGTACATACAATGAGATATTAACAATGTGCAACTGTATTTCTTGAATACTCCGCTTTTTATGAGGATACCAATTGTTGTGATATATGTAAACATGTGTGTATTTTTTCTTATATTTTGTTTTGTTGCTGTTATCTAATTTCATTGATGATTGTTATTGAATAGCATTGTTACCACACAGGGCCTCATGGAGGACCATCCTAACTGGTAAAATGTGCCACCCTGTATAGATATAATAAATAAATGAATACATAAATATAGAACACATTCATGAATGAGCTATTGAGCAAGCCATCATCAATATGTAAAGAATCCAGTCTGTATTATTCTCATATTTGTATGTTTGTTATATCATTTGTATGTCTTTTAATTCCCCCATAGATGACGATCTGCTCGATTTACCCTCTCTCTCTAATAACATAACATTACCAAAGTCCCCAGGTACCTATGATGATTATATTGCTGACAGCATCAATTCCTCTTCTGAAGAACTTCGATTTGATTTTGATCAGCAGGACCCAGCACAAAGCTCTTTCAGCAAATATATAATAGTTTCACAATTTGATGATATAGTTAAGAACTTTAAACGCGGTACATTCTCTCTACTTCATATTAATATAAGGAGCTTAAACAAACACTTTCATGATCTACAGTTACTTTTGAATAATCCCTCCCCCAAACCTCTATCTGTTATAGGTTTGACAGAGACTTGGCTGTCTCAGGATTCCAATATACTATTTTCTATTGATAACTATAATTTTATTTGCAAAAACAAGCAAGGAAGAACAGGTGGAGGTGTCGCTCTATACATACTTAAACGTTTTTGTTACTCTGTTCACGAAAATATCTCAATTAGTAATGACATCATTGAATCTCTTTTTTTAGAAATTAAAGTGCCAGGTGGTAATAATGTAATAGTATGTGTTGTTAACCGACCTCCGAGTTCTAATGGAAACAATTTTATAACACATTTGTCTGACTTGCTTCGAAATACAACATTTAATTATAAGGACTGTTTTTTGATTGGGGAATTCAACATAAATATACTAAAATGTGCCACTAATAATATCGCCCATGAGCTCATTGAAACTTTCTTATCTGCCTCCTTCTTGCCGCTTGTTTCCAAACCCACACGCGTAGCAAATCTGTCTGCCACTTTAATAGAACATATTTTCTCCAACATTACTCCTCATCCTGATTCAGAAATCATTCTTTCGGATGCAACCGATCACTACCCCATTATGACATACTACAATGTATCCCAGTCACTTAATAATCATGGTCCCCGCCCTCTACGACGTAAAGTTAACAATGCGAATTTAACAAGTTTAAGTGCTAGTCTTGAAAATGTGGATTGGTCATGTGTGTCTAATACAGAAGGATGATGTAGACTCTTCGTACGATACGTTTTTTTTCACATTTTAAACACCCAGCTAGATATGTTTCTTCCCAAACAAAGAGACAATAATAGAAATTTCAAAAAGTCCCCGAGACTTCCATGGATATCTAAGTCTCTACTCCGGTCTATACATCGGAAGGTATAGACTAAACTTAACATAAATAAACATCCTATAAAAAATACTTTGACTAAAATCATACGTTTAGAAAGAAAAAAATACTTTATACACCAACTTGAACTACATAAACATGATATGAAAAACACTTGGAAAGTCCTCAAACAAGCAAAGAATGTGGCGAACAATAAAGATGTTATAACGGAAATCAAACTTAATGATGACATTGTACAGGAGCCTGTCAACATTGCTAATATATTTAATACCCCTTTTTCCTCCATTGGGGATAATCTTGCCAAAAATATACCTCCTTCCAAAAAACATTTTACAGATTTTCTTGGTCCAGCTAACCAGAGTTCTATATTTTTTACTCCGACATATACACATGAAATTATAGACATCGTTTCAAACCTAGACAACAAGAAAAGTTCCGGCCACGATGACATCAATAATGTTATCCTTAAAGCCATTATTCAATTTATAGTACATCCCCTGGTTCATATATTTAATTTGTTTTTACTACATGGGAAAATTCCAAACTTTATGAAGATCGCAAAAGTCATTCCTTTATTTTAAAAAGGTGACAAACTTGATGTAAACAAACTATCGACCTATCTCCTTGTTATCTTCTTTCTCTAAGATCTTGGGGAAAATCATATACATTAGAACAGTTGCCTTCCTAAAAAATCCTAATGTTTTCTCCAATTTTCAATTTGGTTTTATGGATAAACATAGTACCATTCATGCTTTATTATCTTTTGTGGAGAAAGTAGCTCATGCTATTGACAAATCTTCTCACATGGTTGGTATTTTCCTCGACTTCTCCAAGGCCTTTGACACAATAAACCACGATATATTACTTTATAAACTTTCCCATTACGGTGTACGTGGAAAGGCTTTGGAGTGGTTCAGGAACTATCTTTCTAACAGAAAGCAATATGTCTTTTTAAACGATTGTTCATCGGATTTATGTAATGTTAGCTGTGGCGTTCCACAGGGGAGCCTCCAAGGTCCACTTTTATTTATTCTGTATGTAAATGACTGAGCAAAAGATTGGTCGGCTCGATCTTCACATTTCAACCCCCCCCCTATTGGAAAACCCTGGATCCGCCCCTGCACCCCCGTCCAAACCAAATCTGAGAGAGAGGGAGGGGGGGGGGGCGATGGGTATTATCACAAATGGTTGATGAAATATTGACCAGTTCAACATAATATAACGATGAGCCAGTTTTGGGCATGTAATTTACTACTACGTGCATTCAATTTAGTGTAATATTAAGAGGGATTCTACAAAAGAGTGGGAAACATTATTTTTTTAAAATTGAATAATTGGAATTATTTTTAATCACTGTTACACAATAAAATCTCTACATGCAGTTTGGTTAACTTTTGTTTATCTGACAAAATAATGTTGCCTGTGAATCATGTATTTGATCATCATATCGCTAATTCTATAATTTTGTATACATGAATATCCCGTGCTACACCCTTCTTTCGATATGTATATGTATACATATTCTAAATAATTGGAAACATTGATAGAGTTTTACAACATCAAAACTAGTGATTTGGAGGTGATGTCTTCTATAGTACTGCGGAAATGCATTTTCCCTGAATTAAAACCAAAAAAACAATTATTTTGAAATGCATTTACACAAACTTGAATGAAAAGACTTTTCCAATGAAATTGTTCTTTTGTATGATGTATATATCCCAGTTATGTGTTTGTGCTCTTATCTCTCTCTCTCTCTCTCTCTCTCGCTCTCCCTCTCTCACCCATGTTTTCCTCTCCCCATTCTCTCTCTCTCTCTCTCTCTCACTCTCTCATCTCTCTCCCTCAACTGTTCTCCTCCTTTCTCCTTTACCAGCCCCTTTATATCCCCCCCCTCTTTGTTGTAGCCCTAATAAGGTACGATAAGTTGAATACCAGTCACCAATGGATCCAAAGTCCAAAGACACTTCCTATAAAGATACACTTTGCTGATAAAATCACACAATATTAAACACGGATACCATCCCCTACAAGAACAATAACACTTGAAATTCACCCAACCTAAGATCAGCATACACAATTCCACAATACTCAGACACGAGTCCACCACAAAATAAACAAAATGTTTGAAATTGTCTTATCTTAGGCATATCTTGGTATGTGCATTTATATATTTTGAACATGCCACGAAAAGTGTGATATTTGTACAAACTTTGATGAGTTGAAAAAGAAAAAGTAACCGGGTGTCATTTGAGTTTGAATTTGAATGCACTTATTTCAAACATGCTTGCTCATTCACGAATTTGAATGACCACCGAGGTACCGTAGCCGGCATTAAATGAATTTGATGCTCTTTGCACGAAATGTACGCATTTAAATGAACCGATTAAACAACTGATTGCACGGGTAGTGAATTTGAAAGCTAAT